ACCTCTGAACGACTCTTGCCTTGAAAACCGAACGCAACATCAGAAGTCACCTGCAACCTGATAGCACTTTCTACCACCCTTTGCATTTATTTATTTGCATCCAGCTTATCTCCCCAGTTGGGACTCACCACCAGTTAAGAACATCATTTTCTGCCCCCCCAATTCTCTCACAACAACCACCCTGTGAGGTAGGCCAGGCTGAGAGTTTGGGACGAGGCCAAGGTCACTGTGACGACCCCTTATATGGGGAGGTCTGGTTTCCCTTTAAAAGTGTTCTTTATTTTTGGTCTACTAGGGTATATCCGGCTGCCACCAGGAAATTCAAGGCTTTCCAAACCTTTATACTTTTACTTTGGCTCTTACTGGGTAGGTAGGTCGAGTGTAAGGTTTATGGAGAACTATGTGGTACTGAGGAAGTATTTCTTTCCAAGCTGGTATACTTAAATAAAAGAGGATTTATTGAAATAATTCATAACCTTTATTATGCTTGACCTAACTGTGTATCCCCAGTTCTAACAAAGAACGTGTTTGAGTATGTCTTCAACGCTTTGAAATAAATTTTGCTTTTCCTGAAAACGTGGATTTATTCTCGATGCTTGGGGATCCAACAGGTATTCAAACCCAGATCTCCCAGGACCCTAGTCCAACATTCCATCCAGTAGGCCATGCCAGTTCTATAACCTCTGCACAAAATTGGGTGGGAAGTCTAGTGGATATATCTCAGCCATGCAACCAAACTTTTAAAGAGACACACACACACATATAAAACAAGGAATCATTACAGTCACCTACAGAGCTTCCACTGTAGAAGCAGGTATTCAAACCCAGATCTCCCAGGACCCTAGTCCAACATTCCATCCAGTAGGCCATGCCAATTCTATAACCTCTGCACAACAATGGGTGGGAGGTCTAGTGGTTACAGAGCTGATCCTGATCCGGGTGCCATGGGTTCAAGCTGTTTTCAGCCATGGTTACGAACAACAGGAGAGCCCTGCTGGATCAGACCAGTGGTCCATCTAGTCCAGCATCTTGTCTCACGCAGTGGCCAACCAGTTTCTCTGAATGGCCAAGAACAAGGCAGAGAGGCCGAGGCCTTCCCCTGACGTTGCCTCTTTGGCTCTGGGATTCAGAGCATTAGTGCCCCCTGAACGTGGCCCCTTGGGTTTAATTCCCTACTCCTCCACAAGCAGCCGCTGGTGTGACATTGGGTCAGTTATACATTCTTTCAAAGCTGTTCTCTCATGAGCAGTTCTCAAAAGAGCTCTCTCAGCCCCGCCTACTTCATCTCAAAAGAGCTCTCTCAGCCCCACGTACCTCACAGGGTGTCTGTTGTGCAGAGGGGAGAGGAAAGGAGATTGTAAGCCACTCTGAGACTCCTTTGGGTAATGAAGGGCGGGGTATAAATCCAATCTCTTCTTCTTCAGTCACCACGGCTACTAGCCACTGACAGACCTCTCCTCCATGAATCTGTCTAATCCCCTTTTAAAGCTGTTTATTCCTGTGGCCATCACTACATCCTCCAGCAGTGAATTCCACATTTTAAGCACTCTCCTGTCTCACACCGTGTCCAAACAGTTTCCCTGCAAGGCCGACCACAGGGCGTAGGGGCCGAGGCCTTCCCCTGATGTTGCCTCCTGGCTCTGGGATTCGTGCCTCTGAACTTGAAGGTTCCCCCTCAGTCATCAGAGCTAGTAGCCACTGATAGACTTATCCTCCATGAATCTATCTAATCCCCTTTTAAAGTTGTTTGTTCCTGTGGCCACCATGACATCCTCTGGCAGCGGATTTCATTTTTTAATCCCTCTCCCGTCTCGCACAGCGACCAACCAGTTTCCCTGAGGGCCAACAACAGACCATAGAGGTCGAGGCCTTCCCCTGATGTTGCCTCCTGGCTCTGGGATTAGCCACAAGGTATAGATAGGGACTCTGGGGCAAGTGATGCTCTGTCATCTTGGTGCTTGGGGGGGTCAACAGTGGGAGGGCTTCTAATGTCCTGGCCCCACTGGTGGACCTCCTGATGGCACTGGTGTTTCTGGCCACTGTGTGTTGGACTGGATGGGCCTTTGGCCTGATCCAACATTGGCATCTCTTATGTTCTTATGGGATTCAGAGGTTTAGTGCCTCTGAATGTGGAGGTTCCCATCAGCCACCACAGCTAGTAGCCACTGATAGACTAATACTCCACAAGTCTATCTAATCCCCTTCCACGAAAGCTTCTGCTGGAATCAAGTTTGTTATGTCTTTAAGACCCCTCTGAGTGCCCGTCTTACTTCGCTGCTACAGACTAATACAGCTACCCATCTGGAAACGTCCACTCAAGGGTCCCTATCCCGGTCTCTGCTGCATCAGTGGGACCCCCAAAGCCAAGGTAATTCCCTTCACAAGCTACCATGTATGGCCCAAGCTAGTCTGCCTTCATCAGGTCTCGGAAGCTAAGCAATGTTGGTCCTGGTTCTGGATGGGAGACCACCGAGGGAGTCCAGGGTTGCTACTCGGAGGCCGACATTGGCAAACCACCTCTGAATGTCTCTCGCCTCGAAAGCCCTGCAGGGTCGCCATAATCAGTTGTGACTTGGCGGCAAAAAAAAAATAACAACCCTCACCAACCATCCCTCATACGACACACTCTCTGTGATGATGTTATGTATTTTAAAGGTAAAGGTTCCCTTGCTCGAAAGCCAGTCGAGTCCGACTCTAGGGTTGCAGTGCTCATCTCCGTTTCAAAGCCGAAGAGCCAGCGCTGTCCGAAGACGTTTCCGTGGTCATGTGGCCAGCATGACTAAACACCAAGGCGCACGGAACGCTGTTACCTTCCCACTGAAGCGGTACCTATTTATCTACTTGCAATTTCTTGCTTTCAAACTGCTAGGTTGGCAGGAGCTGGAACTAGAGACGGGAGCTCACTCCGTCATGCGGCACCCGGGTCTCGAACTGCTGAACTACAGACCTTCCACAGCCTGCAGTTCAGCGTCTTAACCACTTGAGCCACCGCAGCTCCATTATGTATTTTACATTGTGTTTTGAAATGGTTTTAACTGTACTGCGCTTTTACTGTTGGAACCCACCCTGAGCCTGTCAAGGGGAGGGTGGGGTACAAATCCAATAAATAAATAAATAAATAAATAAAACGCCGACGTCGCCACTTTGCATCATGCCTCTTTGAAAAACTGCTGCTCGTTGTCACTAACACCCAACCTCGTAAGACGGCACCAGGCCAAACAGACTTTTCCTCTGTCGCCAAAGACCACCACAGCTTGCTCCAGATCAACTTCAATCCCCCACCACCATCACTGGATACTCTTGGGTCCCTGGCCGTGTCCCTCCACTCCTTACGGAGCAAACTTCCCCGTTGACACATCCTCTCTTCCTCAACATCCACAGCATCTTTTTGCCCCCACGGAACACGCTCCCATTCTTCTTTGACACATCCTCTCTTCCTCAACATCCACAGCATCTTTTTGCCCCCACGGAACGCGCTCCCATTCTTCTGAGAGGCCATCTCGCCTACGGAAAGGCAGAGTACTGTACATTGAAGGCTGGAATCGGTGAAAGAGGACCGGGGAAATGAGGAAAGTTATAATAGGTAGTTGGGAGCAGTGTTCCCTCTAAGCTGAGTTAGTGTGAGCAAGCTCACATTTTTTTAGCCTCCGGCTCACCCATTTTTTGTCTTAGCTCAGGCAGGATGGCTCCAGAGCAGACTAACTTATGCAGCAGCCAAATCGTTCGCTTACAACTTTAATGCTAGTGGCTCACAGAGTAGAATTTTTGCTCACAAGACTCCACAGCTTAGAGGGAACATTGCCTTAGCTCAGGAAGGAGGGCTCCAGAGCAAACTGATTTATGCAGTAGCCAAATCGCTCGCTCACAACTTTAATGCCAGTCGCTCACAAAGTAGAATTTTTGCTCACAAGCCTCCACAGCTTAGAGGGAACATTGCTTGGGAGTACAGGCCCTGACCAGTGTTCCCTCTGAGCTGAGTTAGTGTGAGCTAGCTCACAGATTTTTAGCCTCCGGCTCACACATTTTTGTCTTAGCTCAGGAAGGCTGGCTCCAGAGCAAACTAATTTATGCAGTAGCCCAATCGCTCGCTCACAACTTTTATGCCAGTAGCTCACAAAAAAGAATTTTTGTTTACAAGACTCCGCAGCTTAGAGGGAACATCGTCCCTGACCTGGATAGCCCAGGCCAGCCCAATCTTATCAGAACTGATAAGTTAATCAGGGTCGGCCCTGGTCAATATTTGGATGGGAGCAGGAGTCGTTTCGTAGAAAAAGAGCTAGGGGAACTAATTAGCATAACTCATTTGCATATGCCACACCCCCTGACATCACCGGAAGTGTGTCATAAGGCCACACCCCCTGACATCACCGGAAGTGTGTCATAAGGCCACACCCCCTGACATCACCGGAAGTGTGTCATAAGGCCACACACCCCGCCCCCAACGGTCCCGGCCGCCGCCCTCAGCCTTGCAGCTCCACTGCAGAGCCGCATGAGGGGCCTGGTGGTGGACCTGCAAGTCCGGCGGGAGTGCGAGGAAGCCCCGCGAAGGCCCTCCCTGGCCCCAGGCAGGCAGGGGTGGGGAGAGGCAGGGAGGAAGCAACTTACCCTCCCTCTTCTCCTGCCTCCTCCTGGCTGAATGAGGGCCGGAAGCGGGGCGGCCGGAAGCAGGGGGCGGGGCTTCGCCGTGTGCCCCGCCCGCCACACCTCACCCGGGGGAACGGTGATCCCCCACGATTCCCCCCCCCGAATCGACGTCTGGATGGGAGACCATCAAGGAAGTGCAGGGCCATGACGCAGACAATGTCAAACCACCTCTGAATCTCTCTTGCCTTGAATACCCTATGGGGTCGCCATAAATCAGCTGTGACTTAATGGCGCGGGGGGGGGGGAGACCTACCCCTGAATGTACCAGACTGGCAGGACCAAAAGGCTGAAGCTAGTACATCTGTATAGCAACGCAGACAGTTGGGGTAGGGCCACAGTTTGGTGGTAGAGCACCTCTTACCAAATGAATCTGGTTCACCAGCTGCAACCTTTCCTGAAGAAAAATGACCCGGCTGCAGTCAAGCACCATGGTAATATCTAGGCTTGACTACTGTATATGCTGTACATGAGGCCGCCCTTGAAGACAGTTCACAACATTCAGCTGGCTCAAAAGACAGCAGCTAGGGTTCGTTCAGGTACCCTACAGAACGACCATTTTAAACCAGATATCTGTGTATTTTCGGTTGTGGCATCGACGTTTCTGTCATTCCACGGAATGTGTAAAATAGCATCAAAATGTTTGTGCTGTTGCAATCTTGAGTATGCTGTCCAGGTTTGTATCTGTAAGCTGCAAACCTACGATGACGCAGCAGCAGAACTGGAAGAAGAAGCAGAAGACAGCTAGTTGAACTGCGGGCCTGATAGAAGCCCTCCGGGGCCTGATCCGGCCCCCGGGCCACATGTTTGACACCCTGTCCAGAGTACTAAGGATCACCTGCAGCCATATCAACAAACATGAGATCTAAGGTCACCCCAGGTATCTTTCCTTTACTAATCAACCTGAATCAAGCCCTGGCTGGTGGGAATCCAGGAAGGGCTTTCCCACTGTCCTCTGGATTTGGGACTCCCTCCCAAAGAATCTGCAACTGGCAGTTTCCCTGAAGGCCTTCACGATTAACAGCTTCCTTTCCTGGGAGGCCTCTG